CTTCCTTCCTTCCTTCCTTCCTTCCTTCCTTCCTTCCTTCCTTCCTTCCTTTTTTCCTTTTTTCCTTCCTTCCTTCCTTCCCCTTTCTTTTCTGAGTCTCACTATGTACACCAGGCTGGCCTCGAATTTGTGGTGATCTTCCTGCTTCAGCCTCCTGAATGGTAGGACTGTAAGCGTGGGCCTGGCCATAATTATTTTCTAATTATTTATCATGCCTTCCCCAGGAGAGGTGCACTTCTGAGGAATAAGCCTTATGTATTGGCAGATTTCCAATGTTGGTGTACTTTGTGGCACCGAATAGACATGCAGTAGGTATTTGTGCAAAGAATGAAGGAATCCCAATGTTGGATTGATTAATGGAGTTGCTGGCCCTGTACTCCCGGTGACCCTCCTGCTTTAGCCTCCAAGGGTGCTGGGATTACAGGTGTGTGCCGCCATGCCTGGCTGAACTTTCTTTAATTTTATGTTGAAATTGACATATACGTAAATGAAGCACATGGAAATTTATTCTGTTTAAACTCATTCAGATACAACTGTGTGTCTGTCATTGGGATTCAGATACTGTCTTCTACAAGAATGTATTTTGTCCTTAATAATAGACATAAAGTTTAATGTACAGGTACATAGTACTAGGAGAAAATATGAGATCAGGCTGTAAGATGGCAGACATAGTGCAATTGGAAAAATTGGCTTGCTGTTCAAGAGCTTTGCAAAACACTTTTTTTTTTCTGGAACCAGGGATTGAACTCAGGCCCTTGCACTTGCCAGGCAATCACTTATTCTACTGAGCCATCTCCCCAGCCCCTTGCAAAACACTCGTAATGTTTTGATTACAATGATAACAGTGGGGCTGGGGAGATAGCTTGGTGGCATAAGTGCCTGCCTGGCACGCTCAAGGTCCTGAGTTCGATCTCTGGTATGGCCTGCCAAATGATATGATATAATCAATTAAGCATGGAATAGATTTTACAATGTATGTCTTATTATCACCTGGTAGTCTTTTATGCTTGAAGTGTCAGTTACTCACTCGAAAGCTGTCATTTTCGCTTTGTCCTTCAGAAAGGTTTTTCTTATTAAATTTGAGACACATCTCTTAACAGATACCGTCCCCCCTGCCAAGCCAAGTTCTG